ATATATTATTTGCCTAGTCATACGTTTTGCTATACGTTTTTTATAGGAGTGTAAAAGTTTATCAGCACCATTTGGAAAATAATAGTTCTTTAACCAAGATAGCATTGGGTATTATATAGTTTTTTTTAAATATTAATTAGAGCTATTTGCTACACAAATATTAGCTACACAAATATTAGCATAGAATATAAAAGTCGATAGCGTAGCTTATTTCGGGCAGTTTTTTCGCTAAAATAGCAATGATATTTATAACTCTTTCCTCGAATCTGAAAATAATTTGTCTTTTGATTCAACCGCGATATAAAACAATCTAGAATTGTTCTGAGTATTGATATTTGTGTGAATTGTTCCTTCTCACTTTACGTAAGTTGCAATCTTTGAAACACAAAAACGATATAAATTGCAAAAATAAAACTTCAGACAAATGTTTCTTATTCGTATTCTCTATTGTTTACATTACATCATATCTTCAGTGTCCAAAATTTACACGTGCTTTTTACACTTGAAATATTAGATGTAACATCGCCTTTACATGGGCGTTGATTTTATTGAAAAACCGCTTGAATTTTATCAAAATTTATAATGTTTTAAAAAATTTAGTTAATAAAACATGATTTTCTCCTCCCTCTCAGCAAGGATCATTCGTTATAATCGATCGACGATTGCGGGATAATGGAAAACTTCCAAATCTTATGCGGTATTGTCGCCGTAATTCTCGCTTTGTATTATTTCTTAACGTCGAACTTCGACTTTTGGAAATCACGCGGCGTCCGTGGTCCACGACCTATACCAATATTCGGAAATTTTAAAGATATCATGCTTGGAAAAGTAACCTTGAATGGTTATTTAATGAAATTGTACAATGATTACAAAGACGAGTCATTGATTGGGATATTCCAAGAAAGGACACCCATCCTTATCGTAAGGGATCCAGATTTAATTAAGGATATACTCATCAAAGATTTCCCCGCGTTCGCCCACAGAGCACAATTCACTATTCACAAAAAGGTGTGAATATTTTAAGCTGTTTTATATGAATTCTAAATATGCGCTTTTTGCGAAAATTTTGACATCGATATCTTCATACTTTTTAATTGATAAAACTCATTAAAAATTACTAGACTTGTTTATTTATCTAAAAAAAAGTTTCTGTAAATTGATAGAATTTGATTTTGCACTAATTAAAATCGGGAAATTTACTCCAATTACAATTTCGTCTTTGCCATATTGCAGACCGAGCCGCTGTCGCAACATCTTTTCAATCTGGAACCGAAGAGATGGCGACCGTTAAGAGCGAAGCTGTCGCCTACCTTTACATCTCGTAAATTGAAGGAGATGTTCTCGTTGATATCAGTGTGCGCCGACCATCTTGTGGATTATATGGAAAAATTGGCGAGCAAAAACGAGCCCATAGAGTGCTACGAGCTGATGGCCAAATACACGACCGACGTCATCGGCAGCTGCGCATTCGGCATCGAGATAAATGCCCTGTCGAACGACGACAGCGATTTTCGCAGAATAGGAAGAAACGTGTTTAATCCATCCTGGGTGGATTTCCTGCGATTCAAAATCAAAGATTATTTACCGTTGTTGTACGATGGCCTCGGCTACATCTTGCCGGATTTGGAGGTCACAGACTTCTTCATGCGTCTCGTCGTCGACAATATGAACTACAGAGAAAAGAATAATGTTGTTAAGAAGGATTTCATTGACACGCTACGCGAGTTAAAGAAACATTCTGATAAAGTGGGAGATTTCGGTAAGTATTGTCTGCTGTCGTTGTTATACTTAGCAACTTTGCGGTGTGTCGTACGAAGAATTTTTAGACGGACAACTTACATATGAGTCCGCGCATTTAAAATACATGTTCTCCATTCTATAAATCTCGATATAAAGCGAGGAGTTAAATCTCATGTAAACAACAACTGTATTTAGTCATATGTCAATTATTAAATAATTTAATTAATCGCATTTTCCGATGGAAAATTACATTATTTGTAATAAATAGAAGATAACTCGCATCTCAGATTTCACCGACAGTTTGATAGCTTCTCAAGCATTTGTGTTTTTCGCTGCTGGTTTTGAAACCTCATCGACGGCTATGACTAACGCGCTTTACGAGCTAGCTTTAAATCAGAAACTACAGGACAGATTGCGTGAAGAAATTGATCAGGAATACACGAAGCACGGTGGCAATTTAACGTACGAAAACATTAAGAAAATGGAGTACTTGAATAAGGTATTCAAAGGTACGTTGCCCGAAAATTCGTGTTTCGAGAGATTGAATAAAAGGAAAATATGAGAAACATAATGACTATAATATAATCGTATGGCTGATAAAAGTAATTTGTTCATCAATTCGTAGAAATGCATTTTCATTTACTTGTCATTATTTTTACTGCAGAAACTTTACGAAAATACCCACCTTTGTCGTTCTTAACGAGAAAATCGACGTCGAGTTATACTTTCAACGACATCGAAGTCAGTATACCGAAGGAGCAAAAGATATGGATTCCTCTTTTCGCGCTTCAACGTGATCCGTGTGTTTATCCAGAGCCAGATGTTTTCGATCCGGAAAGATTTAGTGAAAAAGCTGTGCAAAGTAGACACCCGATGGCTTATATGCCTTTCGGCGACGGGCCAAGGAATTGTATTGGTACGATGAAATATAAGTGTCACTTTTCTTCTTTTTTTGTACCATTTTCAACCGAAAAATTTTTATTCGAGAATCTTGATTACTGTTTCTTATTTTCAGGTTCTCGCTTCGCTATTTATCAAACTAAACTTGGGCTCATAAAAATAC